GCCATAAAAAGATCATATCCAGGGCATATGGGCAAAAAAATCGGATTTGGGTCACTTCAGGCTGCAGTGTGAACGTAGCCTTTGTAACTGCACAGGAAGAGTATACATTGGTTACAGAACAAAGACTGGGCTTAATCAGCTGATAGGGAGCAGGTGTGGAAAGAAGCAACGAAAAGGTAGGGGAAAGAAGACTGGCACAAGGCGGCACGGAGAGCGACACAAAAAACACAAAACTGCTTACATACAACTATAAAACAACTACAATGAGAAAAAATGGAAAAGAAAACAATTACCAAGAAAATACAGAATGGCATAAATAAAAATGTAAAGAAAAACTCAAAAAGAAACTTAAACAGAACCAACAAGTCCACAAAGGGCAGGATCATGACAAGTTCATTGATTGATTCCAGCCACAGCAGCATGTATAACAGAATGGCTAAAAAAATGAAATAATCCACGCACTGCCAGGCTTAGTTAACTTCTATACCTAAACATTATTGAAATGCTTTGTTGATACCCTGATATAGCTGTGAAGAAAAAAATGATGTCTCTACACACCAGTAAACTAAAGCATCATTAAAAAGTAAACCAGGCAAAATTTTCCTCAACCCTGCTGTAAAAAAAAAAAAAAAAAAAAAAATAATTCAGACAACTGATACTTACAGGTGATAATCTGTATGATAACCTGTAGTTTTGGATCTATTGTTTAAATTCATACACATTAAAATAAAATAAGAAACAATAAAATCATGACAAATACATGTCCCTTGGGAGGTAACCACGTCAGTATAATGCTGCAAATTTAATCAGCAGACAAATGAAAGATGAAAAAAATATAAAACATGCTGGATGAAAGGGGTCATAGAATGCAAAACAGAGTTTACATTGTCATAGATGAATAACGATAGTTCAGTGGGTGAAATGGACGTACAGAGAAGTTCAAACCCCATCGACACCTCTTTTCTCTGCAAATCTCACAATTCTAAACTTCCACCATAAAACGAGTGAATCCAGACGAAGCCCTGAGTTTAAGTCAATTTGGGGATGTTGCCTTATAAGGTTCTGGCCTGTACTGTTGTTTGTTAGAACTGTAAATTTAGAGTCATATTTTTATATTACTGGTTTTATATATTTTTTACTATTTTTCAAGGCTGCACTTGTATTGTCCAGAAAGCTGTTCCAAACGAAATTTCTTTTTGTTTTACAATTGTGTAAACAAAATGACAAATATACCTGTCTAAGTCTAAGTCTTTTGTCACGCCCCAAAATTGACATACAGACCAGTCCACTGGTTCACTGGCCCAAGAACATGATGTAAGATGTAATACACCAGTTTAGCTGTTTAGCCTACAGTTGGGTTTACTTCTAGAAGAATTACAAAGCAGGCAGTTCCTCTATTGAAAATGAACCAGAACCACGGACATGAATTTTCCCAGTCTTCACAAGGATTGGAAGACCTGACAGGCATGGATTATTTTTGTGTATCAGAAGATCCCTGCAAAGTTTGATGCTCAGCTGTTCCTTTGCTCTAAGCATTTTAAGACAGCTTTCAAAATCTTGGACAGTTCATAGCAGGATTTGCTAAACTTATTTTACTGAAACGAGGGGCAGTTCCGACCGTAAGGCCATCACAACTGCAAGCTGTAAGTACTATTTTGTCGCTAAACTGTTGATAGCAATGCTAGCATATCTATGGTGACCAGATTTGGGTTTCTGAAAAGGAGGACACTGACTGGACTGGACCGGACATTCGAACCAAGCCATCAGCTCCGGGGATGGTCCAGGTCCGGAGCCAGCCAGGGGACGGAGCTACTGAACCCAATCCGGTGAGGCTATGCTTCCCCCCACCTGCCCCGTAAGGCAGGCAGGGGGAAGCACGGGGCCGCGGCTACAATCACCGGGCCGGGTTTGGTCGCACCGTCCCTCGCTGGCTCCCTCACTGGCTCCCTCACTCCATCCACCGGGGTTCCTGGACCAGCCCCGTAGCTGTCGACTACAGTTCTGCTGCACTGTAGTCGACCAAAGTCCCTGACGATTTTGTAATTCCCGCTGGACATTTTTTTAGGTATGAAAAGTAGGACATGTCCAGGAAAAAGAGGACGTCTGGTCACCCTACCATATCAACAATTCGATGTTTCATTGAGTGAGTGCTTGTTGCTTTGATGCATCTTTGCTCAGCAGCTTCGCTCGTTGTAAACCAACCAATCAGCACACAGCTTATCTAAATATTCATGAGCATACCATAAAAGGAAGAAAACCTGTCGTTTCAGTCTAGGGCTTATAACCAGGCATGCATTAGGGCTCATAGAACAACAAATATGACATTTGCAGCCCCAAAAATGTTACACACCCTATTCAGACACCTTAAGGACCAGCACCAAATACCCTATGTAATCATTTTATGAGCCCTTTAAAAAAAAAAAAGGCTTTAAATTCCAGATTCTCTGGCCTTTTCTCTGCCTGCTAAGGATCTGGAAACCATTCAAACTGTAAAGGTATATTCCACATTTAGCGTAGAAGAAGGGCCACATAGAAAGATATCAAGAGAAGAAAAACAGTAAAACAAATAAATTCAAACTAATCACATCTGTTCTAAATTAATTACAGAAAAACTTTCCCAGCTAAGTAGCATCGATTATTTCATAAGGCTTGAGATTATTGTGTCTCCTCAGCAACTGGAAGGCACCGATTTAGAAAACCTGAAGAATGTGTATTGATTGTGAATAATTACGCTCATGGTTTGAGGTTTTTTCCACGGCAGATCAAAAAAAGAGGTGCCTGAATCAGTGTTAATGTGCTGCCTGATTGCAATTTCACTGAATATTCTTAGCTCCCAACTCATCCAGCGACAGGAAGTTTCAGCGTAAAGCAGATGAAAGTCTCTGGTATTTGGCCAGCAGGGAGGGGAAACGAGTAAAAGGCTTTGCTTTTAATAGAAATCAATTTTAGTCTGCCAGCTGCAGAGCGAGTGAAACACACAGAATTCTCTGCACAAAGGGATGTAATATAAAAACACCTGCCATCTCGTGATTGGGTGAAGAAAGGAGGCTCAGGAGGCTTCATTCTCTCCAGAGGCACCCTTATCACTGCCTGCAGGACTGATGCCATTAACCTGGGCCTCCCTGGTTAACTGTGCTTTGATTAGCTTTCTGATTTTACAGCACAGCCAATACGATGATACCGGGTGAAAAAGCAGAAACAATCTACAGTAAGAAAAAGACACTGTGATTGAAAAAAAAGGTTTTAAAAGGTATGTAGTGTTTTTATCAAGCTTACAACCTTCAATAGATATACAAGTGTTTAAACTGTGATTTAAATATATATATATATATATATNATATATATATATATATATATATATATATATATATATATATATATATATATATATATATATATATATATATATAAAGAGCATGGTTTACCTTACATTTAAATTTTTGTAGTTTTTGTCCTGACCAAATCAGCGCTAATTTATCACTAAATACAACAAGTGCAGACTTTAATGTCACTTTTATGATTTTTCCACTTTGATCAGTTGTTGATTGGCTCCAGAACCAGTCTAAATCTTAAAAGTGGGGCTCTTCACTTTTTTCAAAAATATCAATATTTATCAATTTTTTCTCAAAACTATTAAAAATACAAAATGATCTTTAAAGTGCGATTGTGTCTCCTCGGTAAATAACAGTACCACTCTTTGTAAATCCTGAACTCCTGACCCAGACGTCCCACACAAAAATCCCAGAATTTTTCAAATTAAACATGTATTAAAGTACAGAAAGTAAAAACAGACAAAATGATTTTTCAAGTAAATACATTTTCAAAGCATATCTATCAGTTTCAAATATTTAATTCTAAAAACAAAAATAATTTTCAAACCAATGCATTTCATATCAAATTATATGAAAACCGATTCAGTTTGAGAAATGAAAGTTTTGCCTCTGGTTTCTGCCCATATTCCTGTGTTGTACACTCTGATTTAGAAAAGAGAGCCAATATAGATGGCAGAGGGGAGGAGCAGTGAAAAGTCACACGTTTCGTATAAAACTGCAAATCTGCAAAATGGCAAAGTAGAATGACCAGCATGAGCAGAGTTTATCAAATAAAACGATACACTATGAGACACGTTTGGATTCTAACACATGATGAAAAGCACATGATATGTATGATCTACTAGCAAATGAACATGCACCAGTTATCAATGTAAAAATTCTTAAATTTAAGCAAAACAGAAAAGTGATTGGAAATTACTGAATATATTTTTTTCAACAATTAAATGCAGTCACAGGAACCCTGTCTAGCTTAATGTGAAAAGGGAGGCAAAAATAGGTTGAAATATCAGTAACATTTATTAATAACTCTTATGGAACCAACCTATATTTAGACTCAAAACCACATTGGGGAAACCCGTTTTTGATATGCAACTCCTAAAATATAGTCCAACTGTATTCTTATCTCATTTTGTTTTTAAAAATCTTGTATCTGTGTATTGTCCACTTGATCTGTAGGGAGCCATATCAGAATCGATGGATTCACAGAGACATCGCCAAAGGTGAAAGTTCAGATCCATCAATCTGATGCTGTAACCAATTAACTAAAAAATATTTTCCCCTTATTGTCTGTAGTGAGACAACATTGATCTTCTGAGAGAACAGTAAATTGTTCAAATACATGCACCAAATGATTCAACTTGACCAGCTTATTATGGGTTTATCTTTCAATATTTGAATCCTCCAAGTTCTGGTGTAAAAGCCATCATCAAAACATTAACAGGAGGGCAAACATAATCATTTACAATAAAAGGTGGAGTTTCTTTATATTTTTTCAAAGGTTTGGAAATTATTCATAGTTTATCGGAAGGTAATAAAAAGCTGTTTAAAGCTCTGATTAGTTATGCTGATAACATGATTTGAAGGGGAGCGTGTTTCACAGTTGGAGCTCCAACTGTGCTCGACATGCATCATTAAAAAATAAGTGAAAAAACAAGAGTCTTGTCTTACCTTCATTACAGAAGCGGCCCTTGTATTCTGTTTTGGAGCAGTCGCAGACCGGTTCTCTGTCTATCACCATGCACGTTCCACCATTCTCACACGGGTTGACAGTGCACCAACCTTCTGACTCCAGGGGCACCTTTAGGCTTCCCAGGAACAGGGGTTGTGAGCTGCCAAACTTGAGGTCAGTAATTGTTCCCCTGAAGGGTTGCATGGTTCGCACCGTAGGCAGTGTAAGTGCACCATTGCGAATATCCTGAGGTACTCCACCCAGGAACAGGTCGCTCACTATTTTCATGAACTGGCGCTGAGGTTTCACCTCATCGGCTTTGGCCTGGCCGTCCAGCACCAGTACTGTACGCAGGTTATACCTGCTCAGCGTGGCGGCGTGCCAGCTGCCGTCATCCACCCTTCTGTCGGAAACAACTGTGGTCTCAGCGCAGTCAATGCTGAAGCGCAGCTGCAATCGACCCTCCACCACCCCCAGCTGCAGAAAGTCACAGTATCCTCCATCATCGAAGTACAGCAGCAGCGACTCTGAGGCTTCTGTCTTGAACTGAAAGCTGAGGTCACCGCGGGTGCTGGCATCCCAGCGGAGGTAGCGTGCCCACTGACCTGGAGTACCTAAAAATTCCAATCCCAGACAGGAGCTGAGGAATAACTGCAGTCTGATAGAAAAACCTACAAGATTCATAGCTGCAAAGAGTTAATCCAAGAAAATGTCCGACAGGGATTCAGTGAAATGGAAATCTGTTGAATTTCAGGAATCCAGTCTTTATTCGCAATATGTACGGAGATATATTCATATAGATATTTCTTATAAAAATATGCTTTTAAAGGGAACAGGGAGATAGAGGGATAACAGTCGTTGGTTAACAGTCTTAAGAACAAGAAATTGTCCAGACACTTCAAGGCAGTGATCGTGCAGAGGAAAACGTTTCTGTTTTTACGCTTTTTTATTCTTCAGAGCATCGTTTTTGGTGTAAGGTCTGAGACAGTGGTTTCCTCTGATCATCATGGAAAGTGGAATTTCCTCCATATTTTTCAGACGAGAAGTGGAGGTGTGAGTGGATCCATAGTTTTCTCTCAGTTTCATCACTGTCAGGGGAGAAAAAAAGTGGAAGATCAGAAAAGGGTCGTCACATTCAGGTTGCACAATCAATTTCAACGTATTTCCTTGATAGATCTCTTTCAAGTTTATAACTATTATGTGGGGAAAACAGGATGTACAGATACTACGGTAGATATAAGTTAATGTAACATTTGTATAGAACCTCATCTTAAACTAGTCAGAGAAAAAAACATTCAACAGCCTCTGTTAGCTTCTTCCTTTGCCAGCTGCCTGTTTCTAATTGGCTCAAAACCCAAGCAACGGTCCATGAGCCTATAAGGTCTCTCGGTCAAAGTCAGTAGGCCACACAATTACAGGGAAGACTGCTGATAAGACACTTGTAAAGAAGACAGTTATTGACATCCTTCACAGAGAGGATAAGCAGCTGAAGAGCATTGCTACAGAAGATGACCGCTCTTAAAGAGCTATTCCTGACACATTGTTAAAGTTAAGTGAAAAGACAAAGTCTGGTAGGAGCAGATGCATTAGCAGCAGGAATAACCACAGCTTTGAACAAGTCAAACAAAATCAATTAAAAATATAAGGTCCCATGGTCTGTGGGGGTACGGCAGAAGCACAGGCTCCATATTTCTTGAACTGCAGTGGAAAATTTCTGGAGCCTGAGTTAATTTGGGGAATCACATCAGTCGGTGCTGGTCTAATGTATTGTCATAAGCAATGCCATAACTATCGCTAAGTAGAGACTGCAGTTGCTTAGAGGCCCCGTCACTGATATCTGGTTGGCCGCCTACCAATGGCGTAACTATTGGTAAGCAGAGTATGCAGTTGCTTAGGGGCCCCCGACCTCTTAGGGGCCCCATCACTGACACCTGGTGGGCCCTCTATTCCATTGTGGACTAGGACGTCTCTTTGCAGATGTAATTGTGCGGAAAAATTCATCTTAAACCCACTTGGTACTTGGTTGATTGACCGGAAATTAATTATACCCCAACACATGATGGTGAGCTGTTTAAACACAATACCAATAGCAAAGCAGACATTTGTACTTTTAATTACTTAGTAAATAACTGTGTATAGTTCTTAAGAGGGTTGGTAAAAAAAATACACTCATATGTTTCAAAGTTCAATAAAGATCTTAAAAGGACAATGTATTTGAGTATTCTATTTTTTACAATACGAGTTGGAAGTATGGTTATCCAGAGTGCAGATTTCCTTCATATATACGTTAGGATTTTCGCTCTCATGATTTTCAAACATTGGCACTAACGTTCAAAAATCTGGCATAGATTAACTGTAATCTGATGTGTTCATAATTTGGAGCCAGTTAATATAGGATAAAAGATACTGCCAAGTAACGTTAAAATAGGCAATGGCGGAAATGTGGAGTCACTTTTTGAATTGGTTGTATAAAGCCCACAGCTACACTGTAACCTACATGTAATGTTGATGTAAACTCAAAATTAAAAAGGATCAAAAACTAGTGTTTAAGGTAAACGTTCTGTGGTGCAAGACTTTAAAGTTAGTACAACCAAAACTGCAATTGCATAAAAAATCTAAAGTGAAATCAAAACGATGGTTTCATCAGGTACACTTAATGTTTTGTGTTTATTGTAAGTTATGGTTAAGCTATAGAGCAAAGGTTTGCAAAGGGTTTTCTCTCCAACTAAATTAATAAAATTCTTTAAGGGTTTTGAACATGTTTTGAAACATTATCAACCCACAATGTTAACAGAGTGATTTAACTCTGAAACATGTTTCCATAAGTTGAAACCAACAATCTTTCATTTAGACACTGTTCCATTTTGTATAAAGAAGCTGATGTCAGGAGCAGAGGAAATGCTTTTAAATCCGCTGTATCAAGCCATAATAAGAACTGTGATGCTTTAATCATCAAAGGAAAAATGTTGATTTGATGTCATCACTCCTGTCGGAGACAGAGCTGCATTCTTCCTCCTCCAGAGGTTGTTTGGAGTTATCGGTCATCTGCTGGGTAAATTAGTCTCATTATTCTCATGGCACAGAATGACTATGCGTCAGCCAGGCAGACTGCCTTTATCTGATGACCAGACTGCAGAGAAAGCTTTCTGCTGAATCCAGCTGATTATTACGATGTGCAGAAAAACACAACTGCATCCTTAATCGGAGACATACACATGCTAATTTATGCATTTTATTTTTTATATGTAAAATGATTACGGTGACATTATTTATGACAACTATTATACATTTTCTGAGATTTAACATTTATTTTTTATTTTTGTAAAATTATTTGTGAATCATTTCAGGATTTTCTTATTCTAAGCCAGCAGATGTTTTAAAAAGTGCACATTAGGCAAGATCTGTCACAGTTATTTGCAATTTGACTTAAACCAATCAAAGAAGCTCTATAGTTTCTCGTGAAAATGTGGGATAACAAGAAAAGGATATGTGTCTGGAAAATTTGGTTGGATCTGACACAAGTGTCCTCTGTGTCCAAAATACTTATGTCCTGGATTGTGTCATACAAAGTTTTATGCTTTATAAACCTCTTGACAGTGGATTTGGATTTTGTTTCTGTGGGAAAGAATGATTTTTAATACCCACTTGAAGCATCTATTCTTTAATCTGAGTGGGTAATATCTTAATAGTCGAGAGCAGCCGTTTTCAGAAAAGGTCAAAATTAACTAATGTTGCCAATAGTAAAAAATGCTTAATATTTGCTTACAGGATGGTTATTATTTATGACGGTTATGTTTTTCTATTTAGCTTCATCCTTCAATGCTCTTCAATGTTTTTGAAAGACATGTTTTGTTTTCCTTGGATAACAACATTGTTTTCATGTTAGAGAAAAACAGCTCCCAAAAAATATGATGGAAGCCTAGTCCTCCATAAATGGATTGATCAGAATTGCATCATTATTTTCAACCTATTTAGTAATTTATTGTTTTATTAAACAAACCAAGTAAACTTTTGACTAACTGTATCCTCTTCTAAAATAAGAAATTTTTTTTTTTTCAATAGAATCAGCATTTTTAATCAGCCAGTAAAGGCCTTGTCTTGCAAGAAAAAGGCTTGTTTTGTCTTGTAGAACAAAATTTCATCTGCCTATTCTTTTGCACGGAAGGAATCAAATACCATCCTGTTGATGAATAGAAAAAAAAAATGCAGAGGAGGCAAAAGCTGAGCTGCAAACTACAAATTAAGCTGAGTCTGATAATAATCCACATCGGGTTAGTCCTGACTATTCACAGAATGCTATTTATAGTGGAGCATATACACGAGGGAACACCAGCCGACATTCAGTTTTAAAAAAAACCTTCTCAGCAGAAAAGAAAGCTTCAGTTTCCATTTCATCATTTTGGAGCCAAGAGTGTAAAACATGACAAAAGAGTCTCAGCAGAGGAAATCCTTCTGCCAGCTGTCTGGGGTGTTGCAGCACCTTGAAAATAGTTTGGTATGAGAGCTCAAAGGGTGTTAGGGATATTTTTCTTTATTCACAAAATTAATTGGTAGATGTATTATTTCAAGCAAAGGGATTGGATAAATGGAAAGAACAGATATTTTACTTCCAAACGCAATATTTTGGAAACACCTGATCAATACACTTTAATCATTTCTAAGATATACACAAAACTATGACACCAATTAGAAAAGGGAAACAAATGCACCATAGCATGGAGCTCTGTGCCAAACCTGTGGGATGATACCAAACAAGGCTGTCTGTGCTTCCAAAGGTTCTATTATAAGAAGATTTTGGTGTAAGTTAGGACATTTCCAGCATTTATTTACTAAAAAGTGACACTAATTGTTTTTTTTTTGTTTTCTTTAATCAAGAGAGTATAAAAATAAAGTCTTCCAAGAAAACAAAACAAAAAAATTAAAAAAATCTAAATTTCAAATATTTTAAATAGTAACTTCTCATAGCAAGAAAATTATTTACTATCAGTTTATTTAGGCGAAATCTCGATATCTCGATAATTAAATGCTAGAGAACCTAAAACCTAAAATCCTTCCAAATGATTCATGACGGGCTCTACTAATTTGTAGAATTAATTATTTATAATCAAGACTGCACTTTTTTTTTTCTTCAGAAATAAAGAAGATAGTTGTGCTCTGTCTGGTGTTTCAAGGTGAAGACACAGCTGAGTATAAATGTAACCTAGTTTATTTGCTCAACCTATGTTTTGACTTTCACCTATGACCATGAGGCACGGATCCTGACTGAAACAAAGAGAGCCTTGGTAATAGCAGCAAAAATTAACTGGTCTATATCAAAAGAAGTCTTTTGGCATCATACCTGGTTCCATCAGGGGTCAATATTATTTTTTGTTGAGTCTAATGTACTGTGTCTAAAATGGTGCAGTACATTTGTCTGCTGAAGTCAGAGAACTTAAAACCACATTTTTGACAGGGACAGGGGTTATGAAAAGGGGTGAAAAGGGATGAAAAGGGAGAATCATTGTGGTGGGCCATGATTGACAGGGGCCAAGAAGGGTCTGTAATAGAATTATACTAAAAAAATAACATTACACTTAGTAATACACTTACAATCACATGTTTTATTTACAAGTATTGTAACACTAAATGTATTTGTTGTGGAAACATTTCTCAGGGCTCATCAAACCCTCCCTGATTCTATTCATTCAAAAGGGTCAGAACATAGCAGTAAAGAGAAGGCAACTTTTCTCAAGGACAGTGGATGAAGGCAGAGTCATTTAGCTCACTACCCTTCCCTTAGTACCTCATATCTCTGAAGATATCTCCGGATTTGTACATTTCTATGATATTTTAGTTTAATAAAAGCAGGCGTTTGTTTTTAAACAGAAGAGTCAAACAGCAGCAGTCAGTCGGTCTCTTCACTTTATTTTAGAATTATTTTAATGGTTTAAAATGCATCAGCTATCACGGAAATAAAATGTTTGGTCAATAGTAGAAACAGAACATTTATAGTGTGCTGCCTCAGTGTCAGCTCTCAAGCAAATCAAAGACATTAAATAGCAAAAGTCGAATTGCCCCATATATGTGTTTTTACCCACAAATGTCATCA